GGGAACCAGGTGCCTCATATCTCCTTTGCTTAACACAACTTCAAGGCATGCGGGCATGCCTTCACACACTTTATAACCCCTTAAGGGGTGGGTTTAGGGTTTAGGGTTTAGGGTTTGGGGTTTGGGGTTTAGGGTTTAGGGTTCTGTAGGCTCCCTTTTAAGGTTTCAGGGCCAGCATGACAGAACCTTCAGGGTCGGTGGTGGTCAAGAATTGGGGTCTAGGTAGGTGCCTGGCATTCAGGGTTTGGGGGTTTAGGGTTTAGGGTTTAGGGATTGGGGTTCGGGGTTTAGGGTTTAGGGGCGTATGGAGTGTATGGCTCAACAAATTAGCCATGAGAATATCTGCTGCTTACGCACGCTTGATCAGGAAACATCTAGCTTCTACGGACACGCTACTAGAGCCTTAAACCCTACACTCTAAGCCCTAAACCCTAAACCCTAAACCCCAAGCCCTAAACCCTAAACCCTAAATAACCCTAACTCTCGCCCCAAACAAAAGAAGCATGGGAACAACGGAAGCCGCTCTCGGAGGTGGCTCGGGAAAAGCCGGAGGTGCCCCCGCGAGTTGGGAGTTGTTGTTTGGGGGTTAAGGGTTTAGGGTTTAGGGTTTCGGGCTTAGGGGGTTCGGGTTCAGGGGAGGGGTTTAGGGTTTCGGTTTTAGGATTTAGGGTTTAGGGCTTAGGGCGTAGGGGTTTAGGGGTTTAGGGGTTTAGGGGTTTAGGGGTTTAGGGGTTTAGGGGTTTAGGGGTTTAGGGGTTCAGGGGTTTAGGGGTTTAGGGGTTTAGGGGTTTAGGGGTTTAGGGGTTTAGGGGTTTAGGGGTTTAGGGGTTTAGGGGTTTAGGGTTTAGGGTTTGGGTTTAGGGCCAGGGTTTTGGGTTTTAGGTCGGGGGTTTAGGGTTTAGGGGTTTAGAGGTTGGGGGGTTTGGGGTTTTGGGCTCTGGGTTTTGAATTTGGGGGTATTTTTTGAGCTGCACATGGGGTTTATGGCTGTGCAACAAGTTGTTCACAGGGTTGAGCTGAACCCTAGTACCCCCCCCCACCCCCAACCCCCAAAACGCTCAACTTCTCAGCACTTCAGCCCCCAAAGGCCGCTTGTAGGTTTAGGGTTTAGGGTTTAGGGTTTAGGGTTTAGGGTTTAGGGTTTAGGGTTTAGGGTTTAGGGTTAGGGTTTAGGGTTTAGGGTTTAGGGTTTAGGGTTTAGGGTTTAGGGTTTAGGGGCTCAGGGTTTTGGGTGGGTTTAAGGTTTGTTGTAATATGGGGCAGAAGCTTCGTGAGGTGCGAAGAGCAGCTCTGGCCCGATTGTGGAGGGCCATCAGGTACCTTTCTCCCAAGGCCGCAAAGCCACCTAAACCTACTCCTTTTAGGCTTTAGGCCTAAATTCAAGGCAATTGTGTATACTTACAAAGACTGAATCCTAAACCCTAGACCCTAAACCCCAAAACCCTAAACCCTAAACCCTGAACCCAAAACGCAATGGAGCAAAAAGCATGCGCCGCAGAACCACAACTCCCAAACCCTAAACCTCAGACCTAAAAGAGTGTTCAGGGGTGTTTAGGGGGTTTTAGGGGGTTTGGGGGGTTTAGGGCCGCCCCTAAACGCTGACCCTAAACGCTGACCCTAAACCCTAAACCCTAAACCCTAAACCCTAAACCCTAAACCCTAAACCCTAAACCCTAAACCCTAAACCCTAAACCCTAAACCCTAAACCCTAAACCCTAAACCCTAAACCCTAAACCCAAACCCATGAAAAGGTCGATTTCGAGGCGGAGTTGGCCATCGTCCTGGGCGCCCCGGCCGCGCGGCGCAAAGGGGCAAGAGCCATCTTGAGAGGTTTGGAGGATTAGCGTTTAGGGTTTAGGGTTTAGGGTTTAGGGTTTAGGTTTAGGGTTTAGGGTTTAGGGGAAAGAGCCATCTTGAGAGGTTTGGGGGATTACTTGGGACTCTATTTACCTGCAGCTTAGTAGGAACTACCCCTTAATTAATCCGTTCCCCCTAATGTTAAATGGGGGCCCCCCCCCTTTAAAAATTCGCAAAGCGTTTTTATTATTAGGGGGTATTCTTATCGAAATGTCATAATTCATTAGACTTCAGGGTTACTCAAGTAATCAACTTAAGTATGTATGGTGTAAACTGAAAGAGAGAAAGAGAAAGACCTCAGGGTTTTATTCTTGTCGAGGGGTTGATTGGAGGCCTGAACCACCCCCCTAATTCGGAATAGGGTTTAAGTGGCGGGCTCGGTTTCGGCAGGATTTTCCAGAAAGTGTTTTTATTATTAGGGGTACGTTCAATAAAAGGGGGAAGGTATTAGTGGACACAACCCATAAAACTGTCGGTAAAGAGAGTCCCATTGCAGGGTGTTGGGTTTGGGGTTCATTCAGGGTTCATCGGATTTAGGCCTGAGGGCTTGGATTATGTGGCTTCAAGGTTCATATCCTTCAAGGCATGGTGCTGCTTTGGGCGTCGCTAGGGGGAGGGGGAGAGGGAAGCCCCTCTACCGGGTTTTTAGGGTCTCGGCCCCACAGCACCCCCCCATCTCCCGAAACCCTGAACCCCCTAACTGCCCAAACCGCCGAAAACCAAAAAGAAGACAACCACAAACCCACAATGCCCCCAAAACCCGCAAACCCTCAATCGCCAGAACCCCACCAAACCCCCTAAAGCCCCCGAACGCTCAAACCCTCAACTAAGTCAGTGTTAGGGATCCTTTTTCCTTTTTGTGTTATGGGCTTTCTTATATATAAACAAAAAGGATCCTTTTTTTCTGCCTAGGGGAACAGGGATTAAGTCAACCCGAAACAGGTCCGAGACGCCACGCCCGAAACGGCACTGCAGTCGGCATCGAAGCTGCAACCGAAGTCGAGTTCAGGGTTTGAGGGTTCAGGGTTTTGTGGGGCTTGGGGTTTGGGGGCAAGCCCCAACATAACCCTAAACCCTAAACCCTAAACCCTAAACCCTAAACCCTAAACCCTAAACCCTAAACCCTAAACCCTAAACCCTAAACCCTAAACCCTAAACCCAAGAGTGCTGGAGGGTCTAGGAGCCTTCTAGCTCAGATGTTGCACCCCTGGCCCTCCCCTGACTTGACTTCAGAAGGACATGGAGATCAACGAAGTTCAACTCACTAGGGTTTAGGGTTTAGGGTTTAGGGTTTAGGGTTTAGGGTTTAGGGTTTAGGGTTTAGGGTTTAGGGTTTAGGTTTTAGAGGTAGAGTTTAGGGCACAGGCCGTTGCCAACATAGTGCTTGTTGCGTGCAGGCGTTTATGCTTTCAGGGCTTGTGGACTTCACGAATCCTGGGCCCCCCCAAATGCGTACTTTGTACCCTGAACCCCTGAACCCCTTAAACCCTAGACCATCAACCCGGTTTTGGGCATCTGCTGTTCGGTTGGCCGAGGTACTGGGGGTCACAGGCGCCAACGACGTCTCTGCACGAAGGTTCGGTTGAAATGCAGTCGGAAGGAGGTTCGTGGTGGATGAGGATTGACAGGCCAAAGGGTTTACGGTTTAGGGTTTATAGCCTTTAGGGCCTTTAGGGTTTATGGTGTAGGGTTTAGGGTTTACAAATCCTACAACAGGAATTACATTCTGTTCTTGTTTGCAAGTCCAAGGTGCAGGTTAACGAGATGCGGTCAGTTTTCGAAATTATCGTCCCTGTTTTGGGGGCCGCCTTAGAATGAGGACCCCAGAAGGCACCAAACCCTAAACCCTGAACCCTAAACCCTAAACCCTAAGACCATGTAGTTGTTGCTGTGGTTCGTGGGATTGCGCGGATTTCTGGTTTGGGGTTTAGGGTTTCCCAAATAAATCGGGAGCATGATTACGAGGACACCCCCCGCCTCTCCTCCACCCACCCACACACACAAGTTGATGTTTGCTCCCTAAATCCTTAACCCTAAACCCCAAACCCTAATTAAACCCTAAACCCTAAGCCCTAAGCCCTAAACCCTGAACCCTAAACCCTAAACCCGTTGCTGGCGCTGGGCCTTCTCTGACCTCTGCACCTGCGCGAATCGAACCTGTGACTTCCTACCCTTCCGCCCCAAACCCAACAAACCTCCCGCATAAAGGGTTTAGGGTTTAGGGTTTAGGGTTTAGGGTTTAGGGTTTAGGGTTTAGGGTTTAGGGTTTAGGGTTTAGGGTTTAGGGTATGTAGGCCCGGAGCCCTCAACAAAAAAGACACCCAAAACAACTCTAAACTTTAAACCCTAAACCACACAACCCGAAAGCACGTCACCCAAAGCCCTAAGCCATACACCCTAAACCCTAAATCCTAAACCCCAAACCCCAAACCCCAAACCCTCCCACAGGTGGCAAGGGAAGAAGGGAGGGGGACAGTGGTCTCGCGCGAAATCCTTCGACACCTTTTGCCCCCTTGGTCCGACGCTGCTGCCGGTCATGGGCGGGGGATCCCGAAGTGGGATTTGGGTTTGCGGTTTAGTGGGTTCAGGGTTCAGGGTTTAGGGTTCAGGGTTTAGGGAAGCCTTGTGGTTTGGGTTGCTGAGAGTTCCTTTTTTTTTGGGGTTTAGGGTTGTGGTTTTGCGAGACTTTTGATGCTCGGGGCTTCCTTTCAATCAATGACTGAAGGATCCCATGAGTCTGCAAACCAAAACCCGGTCAACCCCAATCCCTAAACCTCAAACGCTGAACCTTAACCTCAAACCCTAAACCCAAGTAATCTCTGACACAGCCCTTACCCGCAAATCCTCCAAGGCCCCCGAAGACCCAAGTGCTCAAGCCCCAGGAACCCTTCCCTACAGCCCCAAGCCTACACCAAAGCTCCGAAACCCTTAACCCTAGCCCTAAACCCTAAACCCTAAACCCTAAACCCTAAACCCTAAACCCTAAACCCTAAACCCTAAACCCTAAACCCTAAACCCTAAACCCTAAACCCTAAACCCTAAACCCTAAACCCTAAACCCTAAACCCTAAACCCTAAACTAAAGCTAAACCTTCTTCTGCCGCAGCGGTTGGGATCTCAAGAGGATCTCGGGGCGGGAAAGCGATGGCGAATGCCAAACAGGAGGGCAACCATGATGCCAGACACTTCGATGAGGACAGTGCTGACCCTCGGGTTTGGGTTCAGGGGTTTTGGTTCAGGGACTAAAGGAGGGATTTTTTTGGGGGTTATTTGGGGGTTACTTGGCTAAGGTACATAGATATATAGGGGTTATAAATGGGGCAATAAGATTGGGGGTCCCTTCTAGGGGTCCCTCCTTTTACCCCGTAAGTTGTTGGTTCAGGGTTCAGGGTGAGGTTTCGGGCGTGGAGTCAAAGCAACCTTGACCACCCCCTCCCGCCGAAACCCTAAACCCGAAACGCCCTAAACCCTATACCCTAAACCCTAAACCCTAAACCCTAAACCCTAAACCCCTGAAACCTCTGAGCAGGACCATCCTTTCGATGGCTCTGGGATGGCGCAGCGGACGTGCACAGACATGCCTTGCCTGGTGATCTTCATTGGGTACATGGCGCCACGGCTACAGACGTGGGCTTAGGGTTTAGGGTTTAGGGTTTAGGGTTTAGGGTTTAGGGTTTGAGTGACAGACGTGGGTTCTTCAAAACACTTGCGGGGGCTTTCTAGGGCTTAGGGCTTCGGATTTCAGAGGTGTAGGGTTCAGAGTCTATAGGGTTTAGGGTTAGGGCTTGGGAGTTTCGGGTTAGGGGGTCGAAGTTGGGGGGGGGGCTTAGAGTTTAGGGGGTGTATGGCCTATAAACCCTATATCAGTTTCCGTTTTCGCGTACCCCAACAGAATTGAGGGATGCCTTTAAGGACCCCTTAAAGGGACCAGAATTGAGAAAAATGACCGTATGGACCCCAAAGCTCCAAATTCTACATGCCAAGGTCGGTATGCTCTGCATCAGCGGCTACGCCTTCCACAACGGCGACCCACGGAGACTAACGCATCCCGTCGTTGGGGAGCAAGGCCTTTCAGGGCATTGGACTCCCTAAGGCCCTATGAGCGCCAGGGGGACGAAAGGCCCCTAAACCCCGAACCCGAAACCCTAAACCCTAAACCCTAAACCCTAAACCCTAAACCCCTAACCCTAAACCCTAAACACCAAACACCCTAAACCCTAAACCCTAGCGAAGCCCAGGCACGGTCTCGACTACAAGGGGGACTTGTGCGGAGTGGACATGCCAGTCTTGGACACTTAGGGACTGGGTTTTGGTAGCCTTTAACCCTTTCGGTTATACAGAACCCTAGACCCTAAACCCTAAACCCTAAACCCCAAACCCCAAACCCCAAACCCTAAACCCTAAACCCTAAACCCTAAACCCCTGTTTTGTCCTCAGCCCCTAAGGACAGACCACTGCTCTACTGGTGCGCCGCAGGGGATCGACTCACCGACAGTGGCCACCCCGAAAAGCTAGACGCTCGAACTCGTGTTTTTGCTTTTCGGGTTTAGGGTTTAGGGTTTAGGGTTTAGGGTTTAGGGTTTGGGGGTGTACGGGACTTGGGTTTATTTAGGGTTTATCGGGGCTTTCTTAGGATTTGGGGTCTTGTGGTGTTTGGTTGACATGGGTTTATGGGAACGGGTTTAGGGGCTCGGGTGTGTTGTGGCCGATGCTGCGTCCTGGTAGGTGTACCGATTGTTCACTATAAGGACACCAATGTACAGGTAACCCTAAACCCTAAACCTAAACCCTAAGCCCTAAACCCTAGAAGACGCCCTTTGTCCTGAGCCCTAGAGACGACCGCTCTGAACACTGAACCATGAACAGTGTCGGTACGTGAAGGGTTTAGGGTTTAGGGTTTAGGGTTTAGGGTCTAGGGTTTAGGGTTTAGGGCTTAGGGCTTAGGGTTTAGGGTTTAGGGGGTTTAGCCCTAAGCCCGAAGCCCTAACTTACCCCAAACCCCAGGTTGGGTTTGCTTTAGGCTTTAGTCTGGCTTTCTATAAGAGATGATTAGGGTTTTCGCGGGTCTAGAGGCTTTTCGAAGGTTTGTTGGGTGTTTGGGGTTTGGGAGTTTAGGTCTCCACACAAGTTGAGAGTTAAACCCTAAACCCGAAACCCTAAACCCTAAACCCTAAACCCTAAACCCTAGATAAAGAACCTTCACAACCCCGTTAACCCTTCAAGCCCCGGAGCCCCATAAACCCGATCCACCATACCAACCCTGCAAACCCAATCAGCCCCATAAACCCCAGAAACCCTACAATTTAGTTTAGGGTTTAGGGTTTAGGGTTTAGGGTTTAGGGTTTAGGGGTTTGGGGTTTGGGGTTTGGGGTTTGGAGTTTGGGGTTTGGGGTTTGGGGTTTGGGGTCTAAACCCTATAAACCCTTGCAGCCACAGCCGCCGAGGACACCAAGTATCCCATTTGCGTAGACCGGTGCCCCATGGGCACCGCAGAGTGGATGCCCTGCCTGGGAGAGTCCAGTGTGAAGGTCCGCGGCTTCTTACTTTTGCGGGGGAGTTAGGGGGGGGGGGGGGGGGGGGGGGGGGGGGGGGGGGGGATTGGGGCTTAGGGTTTAGGGTTTCGGGTTTAGGGTTTAGGGTTTAGGGATTTCGGGTGGCCCTTGGGATATGTTTTGTGTCACCTTATTGGGTGTTAAGAGGGTCGTATTCAGGAACATTTTTCAGAGGGCTTGAACGGCCAAGCTAAGAAGTTATGGCATTGGGGAGTCAGAGATTTTCCGGCTCCACAGGCAACTGTCAACCGAGCTGAAACCCAAACCCCCTGGTAACCCTAAACCCTAAACCCTAAACCCTAAACCCTAAACCCTAAACCCTAAACCCTAAACCTAAACCCTAAACCCTAAACCCTAACCTTAAACCCTAAACCCTATAAACTCTAAAGCTCGGAGGTCTGAGTTTGGGAATTGCAGCTCAGGGGCTTCGGAATTCGCCTGAGAAGGACACAGGCTTGAAGGCTAAAGGTGTTGGGAAGCCATCCCCGCCTAGGAGGGTTTAGGGTTTAGGGTTTAGGGTTTAGGGTTCGACAGGTGATGCCTTCCGGCAGAGAACCTTTCGTCTCGCAGCGCATCACCATCACCCAGAACACGGTGAAGCAAGCGTCCTACCGCAACTTTGTCTGACGTTTAGGGTTGAGGATATTTAGGGTTTATAGGGTTCATAGGGTTTAGATATTTAGGGTTTACAGGGTTTATAGGGTTTAGGGTGTAGGGTTCAGGGTTTAGGGTTGAGACGGTTTGGGAAAGCATGAACGCGAGGCACCAGGGAGTTTGCCGGCATGTTCTGCGTGCCGCACTTCAACGAGGACGCCCTGAACCCCCAAACCCTAAACCCCAATCCCCAAACCCTAAACCCTAAACCCTATAAACCCTAAACCCTAGAACCTAAATCCCAAACCCCCCAAAACCCGAAGCCCGCAGCCTTGATATCGAGACTTCCCAACACCTCCGCCGCGCTTGCGAAGTTCAGGATTTAGGGTTTAGGGTTTAGGGTTGAGGGGCTTGGTAGCCCAGTGGTACCCTCTTGCACTTACAGTCTTGACGTGTATAAACCTGTGGCAGACGGTAGGCAAGATTGCCCGCTGTAACATGATGATTCAAGTCTCTCAGGGTAGCCCATCCCAACACATGCACCTACGAACCGCTGCTCTTCTGTGCCTGAGCTGGTCCTGGGTCTCAGAGCGCACCCACCCGCAAGTCGTCTTGAAAGAGGTGGCTGGCTTGAGGGAGGAGATCCGAGAGGCCCGCGAAGTCATCGCTGGCTTTACGACCGAGGCCTCTTCTTGTGAGTGGAAAGTCTGGTCTCGAGACTGGGCTTTGAAGCTGTCGGGGTTGATCGACTTGGTCTTGTTGGTCTGGCTTCTGGCTTCGACGTGTTCAAATCGTCATCGAGCATCCTCACCTCTGCCGGCTTCGGAACCACCTGAGGATTCTGGAGAAGAACCCTTGCCCTTGAAAGCGCCAACTCCCGAAGCCCTCCAAGGTGGCCTCGGGCTGGGTGACGGCGCCTCGTCTCCTCCGAGTTCGACTGGTCGGGGCAGACCAACGCGGCCTTCGGACCTCAAGAAATGGCGGACCTGACTCTTGATATCCCTGAGGTACAGATCGTGGTCAACTACCCCTTAGACGGTGGAGGGTTTTTCTGGCATCATAGGATACTTTTGCATCGTATTGAGGGAGGGATCTGGCTGACCCTGACTCCCGACCACGAGATACAAAGACATGATCTGAATGCCCTCCGACATCGCATCTTGCAGAGGTCCGCCCCTTATCCCGCGGACATCGCAGCCGAGATCTACGCGCACGATCCGATTGGGGCGGCAGCTCTGGCCGGATTCAAGAGGGAGGCCCAGATCCGAGCCGCCATCCTTGGAGAGGGGGCGGTGGGAAACATCGAGGCCTTCGTGTGGGTTATCTCGGAGCCAGGCCACCCAGACTTTGGTGTCACCGTCGATGCCGGGTTGCTTGGGAATGAGGCGACAGGCTTGGCGTTCACCCTGAAGGGCGTGATCATACGTGGAGGTGAAGAACTCTTCGTGGAGCGGGTTATGACCCGCGACCTCGAGACCTGGCGCAAGAAGAGAGGCCTTGACCTTTCGGATGTCAGACTTCTCGGCGACCACCGTGATGCTGCTGGGAAGAAGCGACTGGACTTGAAGGAGGCCGTCGCCCTGATGAAGAATGTCGAGGACAAGGAGTTCCCAATCGGCGGGGTCCGGGCGGCCAAGGAGCTCCACGAGGCCGTCGCAGCAAGCGCGGGGGAGTTCCTCATCTACCATTCAGAATGGCTCAGGCTCTCGGGCGTCAACAAGAAGTCAAGCGCAGCGCACATACACCGCTCACTCTGCGAAGCTCTTCGCCTGATGCACTCCTTTGACCAGGTGGACACTTCGGTCTTAGCGAGCGGGGAGCACATGGTGCGCTGGCTCATCCAAGTTGAGCTCGCGGTCGAGCGGAACCCTCACCAGCCTGACTTCTCCGGCTTGGACATCGTCAGCGGCACCGCCCAACTTCCAGATGGAAGGGCCAGCACTTCGAAGTTCTCCGAGTGGGTCAGCAACCGCCTTAAGGAGAGGGCCTCCATCTGGAAGCAGGAGCGGCTCTTCAACCAGGAGAGGCGCCAGCTTCGGGCAGGACGAGGCGGCAAAGGCCAGGGCGGCGACTCGTCTTCTGAAGATGGGAGCTCCGCTGCCGGGACAAGAAAGAAGAAAAAGAAGAAGAAAGGCAAGGGAGGTGAAGATCCGACGGCCGCCGGCTCGGGTGGCCGGGACGGCAAGTAAGAGAGACATCTCGGGGTGCTGCTGCCTGGGACATGTCCTGGCGCCCCGACTCCAAGGCAGATGCATGGCACGAATTCAGTATCCGGTCGCCTTCTCTTCGACGACGGCATGGAGACCCTTTTCCTCTCCCTCGGCTACCTCCTCACTTTTGCAGCCAAGGGTCAGAACGCAATGAGCAGCTTCGGCGGGTAGACTGCAGCCTGCGGTCTTTGAACACACTCGCCGCTGCCAGAAACGACAAAGCCATTTTTCCTGGGCTCCCTCTGACTGCAGTTCAGAAGTGGATCCTCTCCGACGTCTCTAGACGGGTCTTGTTGTACGGGAACTGTCCGGACAATGTCACCGAGGAATCCGCCCTGCAGGAGCTCAACCAGCGCGCCAACCTGTACAACCAGGAGAGCGTGAGCCTCGCATCCTGTGACTTAAGCAAAGTGAAGATTCTTCAGCGACGCCTATGCCCTCAAAACGCTCGAGACTTGGCACCTCCCGAGGTTACTTGACAGGGCGGGCTTGTTAGCATGTGTTTACAGAACATACTAACAAAATAGAACGGTTATTTGGGTTCGCTAAGTCGCACTTGTAGAAGATATGCAAGCGAGCTAAGTTGAACATAGCCAAGTCAAATAGCATACTTAGCTAAGTGATTTAGGACACTTTGTACGGTAGCAAACTCGTGCACGCAGCAAGATCGAGCAGCTGTTTTGTTTTTGGTCCACGCTTCAAACCCACGCACTGACTCCAGATTTTTGGCCCTGCCATAAACCCAAAATTGTTTAAGACTTTTTAAACCTCAATAGCCGTTCGCAAGGCCTGGAGAAAGCAACTTGTGAATAAGGAAAAAATAACGGGACTTGCCACGTATCGCAATGCTGCCCAAATCAACCCTGAATTTGTAAGCCTTTTTGGGTGGGCTTCCGAGCCCCTCCAACTTCCGATCTTTCAAGCCTTAATTAGAGACTTAAAATGCGCCCAATGCTGCTCCCAGGGCCTCCAAGCCTGCGACTAAAATCGGCTAAAGACTTTCATCTTTGAGCCTTTAAACTGCTCCCAGAAACTCCAAGCCCGCAGCTTAAGAGTTTGGGGCCCTTAAGCTGCTCCCCAGAAACTCCAAGCCCGCAGCAGAAGAGTTTTGAGCTCTTAAACTGCTCCCAGAAACTCCAAGCCCGCAGCTTAAAAGTTTGAGACCCTTAAACTGCTCCCAGAAACTCCAAGCCCGCAGCTTAAGAGCTTTAGGCCCTCAAACTGCTCCCCAGAAACTCCAAGCCCGCAGCAGAAGAGTTTTGAGCTCTTAAACTGCTCCCAGAAACTCCAAGCCCGCAGCTTAAGAGTTTGAGACCCTTAAACTGCTCCCAGAAACTCCAAGCCCGCAGCTTAAGAGAGTTGTAGGCCCTTAAACTGCTCCCAGAAACTCCAAGCCCGCAGCTCAAGTTTTTTGGGCCCCTAAACTGCTCCCAGAAACTTTAAGCCCGCAGCTTAAAAGTTTTAGGCCCTTGAACTGCTCCCAAAACTCCAAGCACGCAGCTCAAGTTTTTTAGGCCCTTAAACTGCTCCCAGAAACTTTAAGCCCGCAGCTCAAGGGTTTGGGGCCCTTAAGCTGCTCCCAGAAACTCCAGGCCCGCAGCTTAAGAGTTTTAGGCCCATAAACTGCTCCCAGAAACAAACGTGTCTGGAGTATATAGCCTCATCCAGGTCCACTGTCCCCGCCCTGTTCCCTGTTCTCGCCATGTTCCCGCCTGTTCCTTCCCGTTCTTGCCGCTGTTGCCAAGATTTTGCGTAAAGTCCCTCAACTTCTGTAGTGAAATTTGCGCAATGTCGCAAGCCACCAGAGCAAGCCTTAAGCAAACATGGATTGGGGGGGGGGTTTAGGACTTAAGAAAATAGGGCTTCGGGCTTGGGCGGTAGGGGTTTAGGGCTAACAGAAGCGCAAAGCCAGGTTTAGGGCTTAAAAAACCAGAGGTTAAAGCTTAAAAGGTTCAGGCTTAAGTTTTGGAGAGTATGCGATTATGCGTCTTTCTCGAAGCCTGGAAGCCAATGCAAATGGTGGCAGCTCGCAAGGAACTTCTACTTGTCGTGTGTGTGTGTGTGTGTGTGTGTGTGTGTGTGT